CAGACCGGACCCACGTAGTCTGGACCCAAAATGAATAACAGGTAAGGTTAAATAAACTATATAAATGCATTTATAGTAAATAAACTATATAAATGCGTGTGACTGAGGTAGCTGACATGGCGTTAACGTTAATTCGAAAGGGTTCGGATTAACGTTTAGCGCGTGATTGTAGCACTACAAAAAAAAATGGCCATTTCCAACGGGTAAATCCGTTGGAAATTAACGTTTTCAACGGATTTCCAACGGATTTATCCGTTGGAATTTCGTCGTTAGAAATCGGTGTCCGTTGGAAAACCGTTGGAATTTTCAACGGAATTTCAACGAATTTTTCCGTTAGAATTTTCTAACGGATTTCCAACCGGCATCCGTTGGAATTTTCCAACGGATTTTCAACCGCAATCTCGGTTGAAAAATTCCAACGAAATTTCCAACCGCAATCCGTTGGAATTTTCCAACAGAATTTCCAACCGATATCCGTTGGAATTTTCCAACGGAATTTTCAACCGCATTCCGTTGGAATTTTCCAACGAAAAATTCGAAACATATTCCCGACCCGACCCCGACCCGACCCGATACCGACACCAACCCGATCCGACCAGACCACGATCCCGAAACTCACTTTCCATTAGGTCACCCATCCTTCCACTGCTCCAACTCAATCCTCCTTAACCATGGAGTTCCAATTAGAATTCATCCAACTCCTCCAAGTTCAACTTCTGATATCATATAACATTAATATATATACATATATAAATATTTATATATATTTACATATATACATATTCAAATTCATATATATATATATATTTGTTATGTATATGTATATGGTTAATATATATATATACACTTATTCGTATACATATATGTGTATATACACACACATTATATTTGTATATATAAAAATATATAAACACAAAATATATCTATATTTATACATATATAGATGTATAAATATATAAAATATTTGTTTATACGTTTATATACACCTCCTTAATATACAATACTAATATGTATATATATATATATATATTAGTATATATATATATATATATATATTTAAATACATGTATTTTATATATTTATATGTATACATATATATATATATATACACATTATCGATACATGTACATATATATTTATATATACAAATATAATATGTATATATATACATATATATATACGAGTAAGTATATATATATATATCGATATTTATATATTAACCATATATATATACATAACAAATATATATTATATATATATATGAATTCAAATATATATATATATATATATATATATATATATATTTCAATTGATTTTTTAATTAAAATCCAAATTTCCAACCGGCATCCGTTGGAATTCCGTTGGAATTTTTTTTTAAATTTTCAAAAAAAATTCCAACCGGCATCCGTTGGAATTTTTTTAAAAAATTTTCAAAAAAATTTTCAACCGGCATCCGTTGGAATTGTTTTCTAACAAACATCCATTGGAATTCCGTTAAAAATTTGCAACCGATTTTTCCAACGTTAATCCGTTGACAATTTCCAACGGATATCCATTGGAAATATCGTTGGAAATTTTCAATCCAATTTTTCAATTGAATACGTTGAAAATTCCGTTAAAAATTTCCAACGGGTGTTTCCAACGGATATCCGTTGGAAATTTTCAACGGAATTTTAACGGAAATCGTCGTTGAAACGCCGTTGAAAACCGTTGGAAATCTGTTGGAAATTTTCCGTTGGAAAATCCGTTGGAATTCGAGGATTTTTTTGTAGTGTAGAAACGGACGTTTGTGATTGAATGCACGATGTTTGCGAGATTGCGTCCCATCCATGGGCCATCCGATCCGGGTCGGATGCCACCCATATGGGATATGATTGTGAATGTGGCGATGATATGATCGCGCCAACGTCCGAACGATAGGATGGTTATGGGCACCCCGATGACCTGCGTAAATAGCCGATTGTAGTCGGTACTATTGCGTGACGAGGAACATACGGTTCTTGGAACTGCGCCAATGCTTCTGCTAGTGACAAAGCGGATTCTGAGATATGAGTATCCCGAGGATGAGGCATTACACATATCTGAGATTCGAGTAGATTGGGGTCTCCCGAGGAGGTGGTACAGACTCACTCTCGTGGATGGTCGGCAAGGGGGAGTTGCAGTGATTGGTTCTCCCGTTATAGTTGATGGCGTCGGTTGTAGCCAATGTTTGGTGAACTCCGATATTGAGAGGTGACATCAATGCCAGAGCGAGGTGACACGCCTAGTATCGAGAGGTGACATCGATGCTAGGGTGGGGTGATGTGTTCGGGCGGAGAAAAATATATTTATGTCGGATCCGAGTGGTTGCGGAGTAGATGGATTCCGAGAAGAGAGGTGGTTCTGCTATGCACATGGGGAGTACATTACCTATGCATGGTGCGCGTAGAGACGATTTGACGGACTCTGTCCTGCGACTTATCGTACGGACTTGATTGTGATTGCTGATATGCTTATCATTGATTCCATGTTTTCGATTCCTGTTTACTAGAATATTAGTATATATATATATATATATATATATGTATTTGCTTTCCCTGGTTCCAGGAGAATAGAACTCCGAGTTATGCCCGAGTTCACTCTCTAAGCAATTAACTTAGGACGTTGTTACGCAACGTTTCAGATCGTGAGCAGTAGTAGTCGCGAAGCGTACATCGGAGACCTGGGCAGCTTATCACCACTCATGTATAATTATTTACTATGAGACGCTTATGCTTTTGGGAAACGGTTTTGCTATTATATTTGTGGTAGACTTTCGCGGGTTGTAATAATGAATTCGCTACCACTTGTAATGTATAATTATCTATGGAATAATGTATCATATATGTATTTATGAATGTTTTCTTCCGTTAACTCTGAAAAGAAAAGTTTTAAATTCCCGCGGATTTTTGGAAATTGAGTTTTTATTTTAGTTGTCCATGTGACGCAACTCGTATTGCGGGATACGGGTTTCAGGTGTCACAGCGTTGGTATCAGAGCAGTTCTTTCCACGGGGAAAGAATGTGCTCGTATTTTCACTGGAATTTGGGAATGGGTAAAAATGATTTTTAAAGATTTTACAAAAATCTAAGCATGATCACCAGGTCCCGATACTAAATAAAGTGTCTTGTCCGTAGTAGCTATGCCTCCACGACATGCTGCACCTGCGCAACGACCTCAAGGACCGAGGGCACCTCCGCCGAATAATGACATGGCGGAAATGCAACGTCAGCTCGCATTGTTCCAAGGAAACATCTGGCAGCTTGTACGAGGCTGCATGCCACCGCCACCGCCACCGCCTATTGCTCCAACTGTGGCAAGGCCGGAGGGAGGTTTGCCACCACCACCACCACCGATGTCTGCACCTCCGAGGATTCCAGAGCAAGTGGTAGTGGACTACTTGCCATTCGTCAAGGAACTCCCAGTTTTGGCCACTCCAGAGTTTGAGGGTTCTCTTAGCCCTGAGGCAGCAGAAGACTAGATCATCAAGATCATCCACCACTTCAACTACATCCGGTGCCCGCTGGAGTACCTGTTGGGTTTCCTGGGATCTCTAGAGCGAATCTTATTCCTAAGAGATCGATTCTAGGGTTTGCGCAGCGGATAAAACAAAAATTTAAGAAACCCTAGAACCATGCTTCTTATGAATCGTAGAAAAGTAAGAACGTTTACCTCAATCGATCTGGGGCCTGTATCAATTGAAGAACTCATTCGATCACAAAAGGGAGGAAGAATACCTCGCCCTCTATACGTATCCACACCTCGGGATGGATTCCGATGATTGGAACTTGTCTGCTAGGACCCGAATCTGCTATTCAGTTTTGTGCTTCGAGAAAACGGGACTTCAATCACTTTTCAAACCTCTTGGATCTCACCAAAAGTCTGTAGAAAAGTTGTCAAGTCGGCTCCTATCTTTTAGGATTTTTAATCTCCTTCTTATAAAGTGATTCAACCCTAATTTCGGTTTAATTTTGGAAAAACCTGAAGCCTGGAACGGATGGTCCAGAAATACACGTGGACCGTCGGTTCCAGACCTTCTGGAACGGACAGTCCATTCTGGACCGTCGGGTCTGGACCTGGCGGACCGTCTGTTCCGGACAGACGGTCCGTCCGTTCCAGACCCTTCTATCTTGGTTTTTCCGTCGTTTTCTCGTGCGTTTTCTCCTTACCTGCGTGTGTGACTTTGTAGGCTCATTCGATATAGCAGTATAACCCGAAATCTCTATTCCGGATATACAAGTCATAGGCGGTCTCTAGCAAAACACTATGACTACCTATCTCGAATAGAGTTTGTTCGTGATCTTACAAACGCCAGTGATGATTCCGGTTGATGATCCTTTTGTGTCGCGATATCATATTTCAAACATAAGGCATGGACAAGCCACCTTAACTGATTCGACTGCTTTCTCGTTCACTGAGTTCGACTATCTGAAATAGACGATGTTCGTCTATAGTACAGCCACACATTTCTACAGTCTCGCTCACACGAGGGGCCCAACGATATCTCTCTCTTTTACAAGAGGTACAAATCCCATCTTGACTATCTACAATCCAACACATGATTCGTTTCGTACCTAATACACGCCTTTATAGTCTTCCTATTACGCAGGACGTTTGACGTATTCAAAGCACACAACTCCTCATGTTGGATTCCGTAGATATCTCAGGTCTTAGGATCCAATCATGGAACCGCCATATGAGATTCAAGTCATGACGCTAGTCCATGTGTGACAATCTCATGCAGGTCATTCCAGTATTCCGTTCTCCAACGAATACCTATGATTGTGATCGTATCCAATACCTATGATCATCCATATGATCATCAATAACACATCATACTAGTCTTGGTATATCATTATTCCCACAATGATACAGGACTAGGGAGTTTAGTATTGTTCATAACAATACATATATTTCATAACACATAAGTATGCACAATATGTAATGAATAAAACACTCATCCAACCATAAATAGACCGAAAATGTCAATACATCAAATGCATCTAACCAAAGCTCGTATAACAGTACATCATAGAGCACTAAACCAACAGTACCGTACTGAGTTAGCAAGCCATCATCTGGCTGGCGCAGCTCACCACCGGTGGGAGGAAGTCATACGTGAGGCTCCCGCAGGACACCAATTCTCGTGGGAAGAGTTCCGAGCAGAGTTCGAGCAGAAGTACTATTGGAGGCAAGATCAGGCCCACCGTAATATGGAATTCCTTCGCCTCGAACAGGATAACCTGACTGTTCGAGAGTATGAAGCTGAATTCAACCGGCTGCTAAAGTACGGAGGCCACCTAGTGCCCACCGAGGAGTACAAGATCCATAAATTCATTGTTGGGTTACGTGCTTCTCTAGGAGGAGAATCGAGTGCCATGAGTACCCTACGTTGAGTCGGTACATCAACCAACTCGACAAGGTGGAACAGAGCGAGAAGGAGAAGATGGACACCAAGATACAAGACCGTGGTCCATACAGGAGAGTGCCGATCAACCGTCCCCCGGTGAGGATTGGGCAGACGAGTCAACCCCGCGACAAGGGGAAGGCTCCAGCGTTTCGCCCCACGACCCCGACCCAACCACTACAGTATAGGAGGCCATGTGCTAAGTGTGGTCGAGACCATACTGGACCCTGTGGAAACATCATGACGTGCTGCCGTTGCGGTCAACCGGGGCATTTTGCTGCTAGATGCACTGCGAACATAACTCCTCAAGCCAACAACAAGCCACCGCGTCCAGCACAGAGGAGATCGGGTATTGCTCTGAGAGTTTATGCTCTCACAGCTGAGAGGGACGTCCAGGAGGATCCATACATAGTGGAGGAGCCGTTTACTGCAGAGCCATTGACTACCTACGAGGCCACTGATGAGGATTATCTGGAGGAGGATGATGTTGCTGCTATCACATGTACCATTTGCATACATGATGTTGCATGCATCACTTTGTTTGATACAACAACTACACATATCTTCTTGAGTGAGAAAAAGACAGGAGAATTATCGATCATGGAGATCGATACGACTACCCATTTTATGGTATGTACGCCTACAGGACAGACTCTTTCAGTACAAGGGATTTTGCATTGCATGCCCTTGACTATCTATGAGAGAATGTTGACTGCAGATCTTATCATCGTACCTATATGGGGTTATGACTTGATACTGGAAATGGATTGGTTGTCGAAGCACCAAGCCCAGATTGATTGTCGCCAGCAAACTATTTGGTTCACCGAGGAGAGCGGAGGATTCGAGTTCGTTGGGAACAGGTCACGAAGGGTGTATCCAATTATATCAGCTTTGAAGGCTAACAGGATGATCGAGAAAGAGAATGAAGCCTTCTTGGTTGTAATCACAGCAACCGAAGAATCCGAAGCAAAGTTGGAAGACACTACTGTGGTTCGGGAATTCCCCGATGTATTTCCTGATGAACTACCCGGACTACCACCAGAACGGGAAGTAGATTTCTCCATTGAGGTTGTGCCAGGAACGGAGCCAATATCTAAGACTCCCTATAGGATGGCTCCGACCGAGATGGCAGAACTGATGGAGACAGGGTTTATCCGACCCAGCGTATCACCATGGGGAGCACCGGTGTTATTTGTGAAGAAGAAGGATGGTAGTATGCGACTCTGCATCGACTACCGAGGCCTTAACCAAGTGACCATCAAGAATCGGTACCCCTTGCCGAGAATTGATGAGCTGGTTGACCAGTTGCAAGGAGCAAAGTGGTTTTCCAAGATCGATTTACGTTTTGGGTATTACCAGATCTGAGTAAAGGGTGGGGATATTCAGAAGACTGCCTTTCGAACGAGGTACGACCACTTTGAATTTGTGGTCATGCCATTTGGTTTGACGAATGCCTCAGCCGTCTTCATGCAGTTAATGCACCGCGTGTTCATGGATTACCTCGATGAGTTCGTCATAATCTTTATTGACGATCTCTTGATATATTCACCGGACCAGCAGACACATGAAGAACACTTGCGGAAGATCTTATGGCGATTGCGGGATAATCAATTATACGCTAAATTAAGCAAGTGTGGTTTTTGGTTGCAAGAAATCAGATTCCTTGGTCACGTCGTTTCGGCGCAAGGTATCCAGGTTGATCCAGCAGAGATCGAGGCAGTAATGGATTGGAAGACACCACCAACGCAACCGAGATTCTTGGGTTTAGCAAGCTATTACCGTCGCTTCGTTGAAGGATTCGCTAAACTGGCAAAACCAATGACGAAACTGACGGGAAAGAATGTACGCTTCGAATGGACTGAGGATTGCGAGAAGAGTTTCATGGAACTCAAGAAGAGGTTGACAACTGCACCTATTTTGGCGTTACCACGTCCATGTATTCCATATGACGTGCGTCGAGGCAAGGATTGGGCTCTGTTTTGATGTAAGAAGGACATGTGATAGCATATGCATCCAGACAAATGAAAAGACACGAGGAGAATCCGACTCATGATCTGGAACTAGCGGGGATAATCCACGCTCTAAAAATTTGGAGATCTTATTTTTAAGGTGAGAAGGTTAAACTCAACACCGATCATAAGAGTTTAACCCACGTCATCTCACATAAGGATTTGAACCTCCGACAAAGACAATGGCTAGAGCTGATGACTGATTATGACTTGGAAATTGCTTACCATCCGGGTAAAGCAAATGTCGTAGCTGATGCATTGAGCCGGAAGAAGATATTGTCTGCTATCAAAGTATTGTCCTCATCACATGAGAATATAGCAGAGTTGTCGGCTATATTGGATCATTTGACGATTGCAGAGGATGTACAGTTCCATGATCTGAGAATGCGGGTAATTTCAGAGCAGCGCAATGACCCAGAACTCATGAAATACATACATGAGATTGAGCGATATCGCGAGAAAGGGTATCAGTTGGATGATGCCCACGCGTTGAGACTGCATAACCGGCTTTGTGTACCAGATAATGGTGAGCTGAGACGGAAAATCTTGCAAGAAGCTCATCAGTACAGATTAGCGATTCATCCAGGAGCTAGCAAGATGTATCGAGGCTTATGACAGTGGTATATGTGGCCCGACATCAAGAAAGACGTCGCAAATTTTGTTGCGCGATGTCTGACGTGTCAGCAAGTGAAGGCTGAACGACAAATTCCTGGAGGAAAGCTGCAGCCATTAGAGATTCCGGAGTGGAAGTGGGACTCTATAGCAATAGATTTTGTAGTTGGGCTGCCAACAACTCCGACAAAGAAGAATGCAATTTGGGTGGTTGTGGATCGATTAACCAAGTCGACACATTCCATACCGATCCGACAAGAGTACATAGTTGAGAGATTGACACAGATCTATGTGGATGAGATCATCCGATTACATGGAGTGTAGAGTGAGATTATCTCTGACAGAGATCCTCGCTTTACTTCAAGACTGTGGAATGCGATACAGGATGCATTGGGAACGAAGTTGAAGATGAGTACGTCATATCACCCATAGACAGATGGGCAGTCGGAACGGACTATCCAAACGCTTGAAGATATGTTGAGAGATTACGAGGCACTGTATGGACGGCCTTGTAAGACACCACTTTGTTGGACGAAAATCGGAGAACGACGAAATTTTGGGCCCGAAATTGTGGAGGATACAATTGAGGTTATCAGAAATATCAAGGTTAACCTGAAGGTCGCTCAAGACCGTTAGAAGTCTTATGCGGATAAAAGTATGCGGGATTTCCAACTAGAAGTGGGCGATCAAGTATTCCTCTGAGTACAGGCGATTCGAGGACATGCAAGATTCGGTAAAATGGGGAAGCTCAAGCCTCGTTATATTGGGCCATATCCAGTAATTGGAAAAGTGGGAGCAGTGGCGTATCGAATGGAGTTACCGGCGGAACTCGACAACATACATGATGTATTCCACGTGTCCATGTTACGAAAATATGTAGCAGATCCATCCCACATTTTACGGCCGCAGGAGATTGAGGTTACCCACAATGTACACTTTCGTGATGAGCCACTACAAATCGTGGACTACAAGACGAATCAGTTGCGGAATAAGGAGATTCCCTTAGTGAAGGTTCTGTGGCGGAGTCAAGGAGTCTCTGACATGACGTGGGAACCAGAGAAGGAGATGCGCGATCATTACCCCCATCTATTTGGTACGTAAATTCCAACTTAATTTTCATATGAATTCGAAGACGAATTCACTTTAAGGGGGTAGATTGTGACAACCCATATTTTTAAAAAAAAAACTGGACCAGACGGACCGGTGAAGCCAGACCGGACGGACCACGACCAGACTGGAACGGACGGACCAATCAGTCTTAGAATGGACGAACTGGACTGTCGGCAGCGACGAAAGTTGCGATTTTCGTCTGGATCCAACCTAAAAACGACCCGTGCGCACTAATCCCGACCAGAAAACCAACTTTTTGAACCTTGGGCCTGACTTCTGTTCAGATCTGTCAAAACCGTGCCTTTCTAGCCCCTTTTCCGCTTCAATTCTTCATCATCTCTCTAAAACTCGACCCTCTCTGCAAATCCAAAAATTTCTCTCCAAATCCGGGAAATTAACGCTCAAGTTGGTTCCTACAGAGCACGAGGAGCTTCACCAAGCTTCCCATTCAACACTCAGAGTACGAGCTTAACCCGAGGTGAGTGAATTCGAGTTTAATTCGGAAGATTATTGACATGGGGTTTTGGGTTTTTGTGTGTTTCATGCGAAATTGATGCTTTATTCGTGTTAAACATGAGATTTTATGAGTTTTAGTGTATTACCCATAGTGAATCGTGCATGTTTGAGTGTTTTTGATAAAATCTGAGGACTAGAACGTCCGGTCTGAGGTCAAACCGTCCGGTCTAGGGTTGCGAGAGAAAACGCGAAGTCCAGAGGTTGAAGACGAAGTCCAGACCGTCCGTTCTGGACAGTCCGGACCATCCGTTCTGGACAAGCCAGACCGTCGGGTCTGGACACTCCAGAATTCCGTTCTGAACCGACTGGACCGATCGATCTAGCTTCTAGACCGATCGGTCTGAACGAAAATCAACCTGAAAAAAAAAGAGTAACGGAACCTTAAAAATTCACCAGGTGAGAAAGTGAAAAACTAAACTAGTCGGACCTAGTATTACCCAGACTTAATATAGTGAACAACTGAAAAATGTAAAATAAACCGAAAATACGGGCCAGACCGGACCCACGTAGTGTGGACCCAAAATGAGTAACAGGTAAGGTTAAAAACTACGGAATGAACCAAACTGGTTATCCGGGCGGACCGGGACCAGATAGGTCATACTGGAGGTACAATTCGGTAATATGAATGGAAAGACTCAAAAAAAAATATAAATGAATTTAAAAGACTACGCAAGCGGAAATGCATGTATAGTAAATAAACTATATAAATGCGTGTGACTAGGGTAGCTGTCATGGCGTTAACATTAATTCGAAAGGGTTCGGATTAACGTTTAGCGCGTGACTGTAGAAATAGACGTTTGTGATTGAATGCACGATGTTTGCGAGATTGCGTCCCATCCATGGGCCATCCGATCCGGGTCGGATGCCATCCATATGGGATATGATTGTGAATGTGACGATGGTATGATCGCGCCAACGTCCGAACAATAAGACAATTATGAGCACCCCGATGACTTGCGTAGATAGTGTTGGTTTAGTGCTCTATGATGTACTGATTATGAGCTTTGTTCAGATACATTCGATGTATCGATACTTTCTATATGTTTTTTTATGAGAGTATCTTGTTCATTACATGTTCCTGCATGCTAGATCTGTTATGAAATCCATGTATCATTATGAATGATACTAAACTCCCTAGTCTTGTGTCATTATGAGAATAACGACATAATAAGACTAGTATGATGTGTGATTGATGATCACATAGATGATCATAGGTATTGGATACGATCACAATCATAGGTATTCGTTGCAGAACGGAATATTGGACTGACCCGCATGAGATTGTCACATGGACTAGCGTCATGACTTGAATCTCATACGACGATTCCATGATTGGATCCTAAGACCTGAGATATCTACAGAATCCAACATGAGGAGTTGCGTGCTTTGATTACGTCAAACGTCCTGCGTAACAGGAGGACTATAAAGGCGTGTATCAGGTACGAAACGAATCATGTACTGGATTGTAGATAGTCAAGACGGGATTTGTACCTCTCGTAAAAGAGAGAGATATCGTTGGGCCCTTCGTGTGAGCAAGACTGTAGAAATGTGTGGCCGCACTATAGACGAACGTCGTTTATTTCAGACAGTCGAACTCAGTGAACGAGAAAGCAGTCGAATCAGATAAGGTGGCTTGTCCATGCCTTATGTTCGACATATGATATCGCGATACAAAAGGATCATCAGTCGGAATCATCACTGGCTTTCGTATGATCACAAAAAAAAACTCTATTCGAGATAGGTAGTCATAGTGTCTTGCTAGAGACCGCCTATGACTTGTATTACCGGAATGGAGATTCTGCGTTTTACTGCTATTCCGGATGAGCCTACAGGGTCACACACAATAGGGATGGACAAGTACGTGTGATAAATTATCCCGATTAGGAATCCTAATTGGATTGAGATTCCTAATTGGAATAGGAATCCTAATGGGATTAAGAATCCTATTATGTATAGGAATCCTAATGAGATTAGAATTCTATTACATCTAGGAAACCTAATGAGATTAGAATTCTAATAGGTTTAGGAAACCTAATTAGATTAGGATTTCTAGTAATCTATTCCTTGTCAAATTAGGATTTTGGAAAGTCTATATAAGGAGAATGTCTTCTAGGGTTT